AAAAAATCAGAGCCGACGGAGGTCACTTTTCAGAGGTTCCAAGACTCCGGGAAGAGATATTGGTAATCTGACTTCATATCCTGCTCCTAGGTAATTATATAACATTATTTTTAAAATTAGAACCAGCCACCATCTATAAAAGGGAGAAAAATGCCTAAAAAGGGTGATTTGTCAAAAAAAAAAAATATAAACACCCCGTAGCCCATGAAAAAATTAATTTTTTGAAATTTTTTTTTTCATCAATGTGTTAGATAATAATATAAATAATATTTTATCTTTTCTTTTCCTCCGACATTTTTTATCCGAACTTGTGAATTTTTGCAATTAAAAAAAAATCAAAAAAAACGCAATTTTTGACACCCTGTTTTGACATCAAAAACTTGATAAAAAAAAAATAATTTTTTTTTTGTGTATTTCAGGGGTCATTGGGAGTATATATTTAAAAAATGGGCTATTTATGTCCAACGAGGCCGGAGATAAAAAATCGAAGCCGACGGAGGTCACTTTTCAGAGGTTCCAAGACTCCGGAAAGAGATATCGACAATCTGACTTCATATCCTGCTCCTAACAAATTATATGAGTCTACGTTCAAAAATAGAACCGGCTGCTATTAATATTGAAAGAGATATTACAAAATGTCTTACTTGACACGGGTTCTTTACTGAATTTTTTTAACAAAGCAGAATTTTTAAATTTCCGCCTTTTTTCGCTCATTTTTATGGTAAAACTTAATGAACAAGGAAATTTTTATAATCTCTCTCTTTTTTTAATAGTTCAGATTTGGGTTTTGAGAGTTAACATTTTTTACAGTTTTTGGTTGATTTTTGCCCCTTGGATTTTTGCATGGAGGTCATTTGAAATTATGCTTACAGTCCTTACAGTTTCTTTAAGTAAGAATATTGAAATTATATTTACCAGAAAGAGCAAACATCTCCATATTCTCCTGCTTCTGTCGTCCTCCCGTCCTCTTAGTTGCGGCCATGAGGACCTTGTCCTGTTCCATATCCCACAAATCAACCTCGTCATAGATCCCGTCCTCTCCTGGTCCTTCACCTTCTTCATCTGACACTGCGTTCTCTAGTTTAGAACCACCCATCCTGTTACTTCCCTTCTTCCGTCGACCCATTTTCTGAAAACATTTCACTTTACAGAGATAAATACGTAAGTAAAGTGTACAGTGTACAGCTTTCTGTGTTCAAAGGCCAATGTACACGATAAACTACATAGGATGCAAAAACAAATTGAAGCAGTACAAATATGTTATTTAGGTCAATAAAACCACGTACAAATGCAAACAAACTGATATTCTTTACATATAAAGGCAATGGGTGAAGAAAGTGGGATAAAATTTAAAAAAGATTCGGAAATTAAATTATGAGATCAAATTAAGGAATCAGAGGTAAAGGACACAAGGGTAAAATATAAAAACAAATAGGTAAAAAGGGTAACAATTTTTAACAGCAAATTATTTAAATAAAGAATTATTTATCCAATTATTAGTTCTAGAAATAAACTTTTACATCAGTCCGGATTTTCTAAGATTCCATAATCCTATATCGCAGAATTCGATTTTTCCTATTCCAGCTAGCATTTCACGAAATATATCGGGTTGATAAAGTTTCCAGCACTTTCCGGTATATGAGGTTGATGAAATTACCACTTGTATTTGTTTGGGTCAGGGTTCCACATACCACCAGCCTAAATATATTTAAGAATATAATATTGACAATTACAGTATTGGTTAAATGGTTGAACGAACTGATGGGGCCAAAATATGTTTTGGAACCTCACATGACAGGTCAGAACTTAAGAATGTTACTCGGAAAGATTTTTTTAATTAGCCGTATGCGAACTTTTTAATTAGCCGTATGCGAACTTTTTAATTAGCCGTATAACCACCAGAGTCCCTAAATCCTGACTGAGGTTGAAATTCACAAGTTAACCTCATTCTAGTTAAGACCATATTCAGTTTTGAAGATATATTTCGATATATATTGTATCCTTCTCAAATTTTGAGGCGTAATGTTTACATTATCACGCGGAATAAATGTCTGTGAGAGTTCAAATAATAAATAGAGCGGGCCAGATCTTAAAACTTGGAAATTTAGTATCTAATTAAAAAAAGAATGCATATCCCTTAGACTAACGGTTTCGGCACAGTTTGACGTATTCTACGGATTGTTTTAACGATTTTTACAAAACATGGGGCAACGCCGGGCTCTTCAGCTAGCTGTGTATATACCTGATGGACATAGTGCAGAGTATGTAGAGGAAGATAAAACTACAATCTGTTAGATCATCCCCAGGTAGGTATCTGTGGCTGATTCCCTGCAAAACAAAAACAATGGATTTTTTTTGCAAGGAATAACAGAATAAAAACCAGGTTTGGCGGATTTTCTAACTATCAATATCAAAATAAATACATGATGTTTAAATGATTCCAAAGAATTACAGACTTTTTATCTGTTTACTAATTCTAGATTTCTGTTGCTATCGAAAAAATCTTTTCCTGTATTTTTTTTTTAAAAGAGAGGTTTTTTGTCACTAGGACATGATCGGGTTGTTACGATCGAACCTCGGAATTTTTTATTGCGAAAATTAGGTGTTTTAGGGGTTTTGTATTTATTTGCCAGGGATTGTAATCTGGCAGCACATTCATCCTTCCACGCTTCATTTATTCTAAGAAGAGGGGTGACAAGATTCCAGTTGCCTAGGCCTGAGAATAGTAGATCGCAGGAATTCTTCTGATATACTGGAATGAGGCCCAGGTGCCATACAGATAGGAAACATCACACTCATTGCTCCCAATCATTTGTAAGCCCGGATTGGATACCTCCAGGTACTTATAGCTGGCAACCATAGACTCTCACTGCTCGTCAACCTTTCATCTCTTCATGATCATTCACTTGGATCAATCCACTTTATGCTTCTTTTTTGTTGAGTAGAAAGCACGCACCCTTTCGCTGAGAGAGATTATTATTATTATTAAAAAACACTTCTGGGGATGTTCTGGTCCCCAAGGAAGTCACACCCATCAGTACTTCCCATCACGATACGTGTACAACCACGCCTGGGGTCGTCTGTTTGTTAATCGCTTAGGGGATGTCTAATTTAAACCCTGGATGTAAGCGCACCGGGTGTAGGGATTTTCGGGAACCTGAGTAAGCCGAATCCCCAGGTTGACATCCACCAACCCACCCACCCCCTCTTGGGACACAGGCCCAGTGTTGAGGGTAGTCTATTTCTGTGTAAAATCGTTCATAGAAATTTCCAATAAAATTCATAAAGGAAAAATATTGGTCTGGCAACCAATCTGTTACGTTTGGTTTTAAATATTACTTTGTTCAATTATTACTATAATTGATAAATTAATATAATATAATATATGTTGGGTTTGAATCATCTATCTCTCTACTATAGTATGTATGTCACGAGCTCGGTTTAGAAGTTTCAGTCTCCCACAACCATCCTGTCCCAGTTATCGTCTCAGGATGTATTTGTTGGCCTTCCCCGAGTACTGCTGTATATAGTATATAGTAGAGATGTTGACAGCCGCCCCTCTGTCATCCTAATCCGCCAGGTGGTTATAACTGCTTAATCAGATGTTGGCTTTAGATGATTTTGAAACCACTGGTTTGTCAGGAGTGCGGCAATCGAACTGGCTGCGGACAAGTGTGCTTAACTTCAGTGATCTAACAGGAACTGGTATCACACACTAGCCACCACAAAACTTGTATTTGCAATCCCATGATTTTATTGTTATATAAAATTATTATCCACCCCCCCCCTCCCATCTTAGGAGAACATTTATACTATATCGTTGATAATTCTGTCCATGCTATTGTTCGTGTATTTTTACTAAAAAATGGCGTCTTTACAATTAACGTGTCTCTCTGATGGAAACATTCGTAAACATCCCTGTTGCAAAGAGAGGAACAGGAAAAGACACAAATTAGTGATGAAACATTAAGGGAGGTCATGGATATATATTTTCAAGAAATCATACACCAATTTTGTTTACCCTTTAAAATACGGTGTACTCAAAAATTAATTTGTTTTTCCCGTACAGTATTTTTTTTGTTTCACAATTAAGTGAATAAAACCCTCAAAAAACATTCCTAACATCTGAAGAAAACCATGATTTTCAACAGGGGGAAAGGACTTTATAACAAAATATAAACCACTGGAAGTAGTGTACCTGGATCCAGTAGATTGGTGTGAAGGGTAGTTTTGCAACAACTCGCCCATCAAATATTGAGTTGAACATAGATAGAAGAGCAGTGAATGCAAAACCTGAACAATTACACGTTTTCTAAGCAAATATACAAATTAATTTGATGTTGAACTAAATATATTGTTTAGAATTAAAATTATAATTTTTACAGAAAAAAGAGAAAGTTTTTAGAAGTTTGTTTTATTTTTGTTCTTGTTAACAGAGTTTTAACAGAATATATATTCTTGCAAAGTAAAAATGGCGAAAAAACAAAATGAAAAGGATTGGTTATTTTACTTACCGATTGCAAACATTGATTTCATCTTGACTAAGGTCATATCCCTGTTGGTGTTCTTCAGCTTCTCCTCGTCCTGCTCCAGCTTCTTCTTCTTGCTTCTGTCCAGAGACACCGTCTCCCCAACTGCCTCCTTCTTCTTCTCCAGCTTCTTGCTCTGCTTCTCTATCTCGAGCTTGAGCTTCTGATACTTTTCTGTTCTGTAGACCAGGGCCCAGGTTACTCCCTTTACAAATATATATATATGAATACAATTAAAGAGAATGTCAACGTTGTTTTAACAAATCTTTACTAAAGGGGCTGTCGACAAAACTTCAAGTAATACTTTGTTCAATAAGTTGGTTCCTGATTTACAACTGCATTTGCCTTTCAAAACTTGAAATAAATAAATAAAATGGTCAACCATCATCCCGCGGAAGTCAGGTTTAAAGGAGTAACAATGAAGAACATAAACCATTCAATTTTCTGGATTAGAAATAAATTCATTATTTCGGTTGCGTAAGTCCACAAGTCTTTTAAAAATTACGAGCAACAATTAAATTCTATCATTTTTTAGTTCGAAAACAAGAATATGATTTTATCTCTGACAATGGTTACTCTGACAATGGGAACCGATAAAAATCGGGCATATGACTTTCACTCTAAATTGCATCGACAGTGGCTTTGAAAAGGAAAGAATTATAACAGTGAACTTACAAACCTTTTTCGGAAAAACGTATTCTCAGAATACGGACAAATTGCTACGACTTTGTTCGATCTGGAATTACTTGAATTAGAACACAATTTCTTATCTAAAACCGTTGAAGTCTAAGGCTGCTGATCTCAACAATTTTCATTTTTTAGAAATTAAATGAGTGAATTTGTCCGGTAAAAAATTAACGAAGAAATAATGTCCTTAAACTTTCCAACTTAAAAAATAACCGTGAGAAAAGATTTATTTCAAACAAGGTTTACACAAACCTCGCCTAGTAGAGCAGTACATATAGATATAACAAGGATTAGAATTGTATCCGACAACATGATTTTATCTGAAATAAAATTTTACAAGAATTGACGCCATTTATAGCAATATTACTTCCGTTTCTACGCAATTATATTACTAATGAGTAGGTACGCTGCTACGCATCTACTTCTGGTTAAAAGAGTCTAAGTATGACTATATGGGAAAAAGAAGGATTCGGCTTAATGGAAATCATCAGGGGAGGCATTCTCAAGCTTCTTAACATACTCCTCCCAGGTCTAAACATCAATCAACCAATTAATCAATAAATCAATAAATCATCAAATCAATCAACCAATAAATTAATAAATCAAATCTAGTAATCAGTCATTCAGTCAGCAAACAAGTCAACCATTCGTGAATCAATGATAGTCAGTAGGTACCTCAAAAGATTAATATATATGAATTCATCAATCAGTAAATCAATAAATCAATAAGTATATCAATGAATTCATATATCAAAAGATCAGTAAATATATCAATCAATAAATCACTATGTATATCAATGAATCTTAATCAATCAAAAGATCAATAAGTATATCAATGAATTTATCACTCATTAGTATCAATGAGTTCTTAAACCAAAAGATCAATAAGTATATCAATGAATTCATCATCAATAAATCAATAAATATATCAATGAGTTCATCAATCAAAATATCAATAAGTATATCAATGAATTCATCAATCAATAAATCATAAATATATCAAAGAGTTCATCAATCAAAATATCAATAAGTATTAAGTATATCAATGAATTCATCAATCAAAGATCAATAAGTATATCAATGAAATCATCAATCAAAGATCAATAAGTATATCAATGAATTCATCAATCAAAAGATCAATAAGTATATCAATGAATTTATCAATAAGTAAATCAGTAAATATATCAACGAGTTCTTCAATCAAAAGATCAATAAGCATATCAATGAATTCATCAATTAATAAATAAATCAATCAAGGAGTCGAGAAATCAAGATATCAGTCAACAGAACTATCAATCAGTTAATTTATGAATCAGTGAGCTCAATAAAACATTTATTATATCAATCAATGCATCATCAATGAATCAACTGTTGAATAAATCAACGAATCAACCGTTGAATCAATCATTTAAATCAATCAATGAATCAACCAATAGATCGTTATTTTAATTGTTGAATCAATTGGCGAAAAACTCAAATATCAATCAATCAACCAATCAATGAATTCATAAGTATACTGGAAGTGATCACTTGAAGATTAAAAATATAAAATATATGCGTCACAATTAAATACCTGGTCATGGGGCCACATGGTGTTAGCCTCAGGGTCGATTACGAACTGTGTTAGTCCAGCATCAAGGGCTTCCTCCCTAGAATAAAGATTGAGCGTACAATTTAAATCTGTATCCTGTTACGCAACGCATCTATTTAGTTCAACGCTTAACAAATTTTTTAAGACCCCCGGCCCCCCCTACCCCGCATCCCAACCAATAGAAAGAGAAAAATTGACTGATACTGAAGTTATAAAATGTTGCATTTGACGCAAATATTGATAGCAAAATTCGTTGGACTCAACAGTTAACACTGCTCCAGCCTTCCCCCCTCCCCACCCTTTCTACTACGTACATGGTCATCTCCTCGACGGGCTGCATGGACTCCCACTTAGCGAGCTCTGTCTTGATGCCGGTGATCCTGGCGGCGGACTGGGCGACAAATCTAAACACAATATCAAGTTAGCATTTAAACAAGGGTAACTTGTTATAAGGTTTCAATCCTCTTCCAACCAAACTGTCTTTAATTTCCTAAATTAAATGCATTGGGAAAAAATTGGATTAACACAGGTTCCATAATCATCAAATAATTCTTACTGAAATTCATCATCAAACATTTTCAAGAAAAATCTAAAATTTTCACTTTAAAGTTTACAACTTTTCTATTTCACCCCACAACCAGGGAAGAATTTACAACTCCCAAGCTCAAATTTATTTTAATATTTAGAAGTTAAACTTACGACATACTCCCTTAATTATCGTGAATACTTACTCTTCGTATCTGGCCTTCTGAGTGACGGCCTGAGCATCAATCTCAGCAAGTTTACCCTGGTCTCCGGGATAGGGAATGGAAAGGGATCCGTAGGATTTCTCAAAAGTATCAACCATCCCGGGGATAGTAATCTTGCTCCTAAACAAATCTTAATTCAAAGAAAAATTTAATCACTTTTAAACCTAGAAGTTCTTCCACATTTTAGATAAGATAAAGGTTTGAAGTGTATTGTTATGAATTGGGCATCGACATCTTTGCATGGAGGAACACTATGTCAATTTTTATTCCTTACCTGTAGACGGCGAAGTCGATTTTGCCAAGAGACTCTGGTAGAGAGTTAACATTACGCATATGCTTGTCAACTTTCATCTACAATAATCGGTTTTTATTTTAATTTATTTTAATGCAGTGGTCGGTTTTTATATTAATACAATAGACGACTTTTCTATTCAAGTTTTCATTTCAGCTTCAAATTACAAGTTTACAAGTAAACCAGAGAAGCTGTTAATTGACAGCTTCTCTTTCCATGTTTATGGGTATCAATGCAGTTTAAAAGCTTGGTAGAGATTATAAAATTTAGTTTGAAAGTCGTCTTCATTATTTTGATATATACGACTACGACTGAAAATAAAATAAATATATTTTTGATGCTCGGAGTAAAATTATGAGGCAAATTTTATCCTCAAACACATTATGCCCATAAATTAAATCATTTTCCCAATAAAGCGAATAAACACAAAAAGACGAACAACCAGTCCTAATATCTGAAGGGGCTTATTTTCAACATTGGAGAATGATGTTTCAAATAAACGTATAACCCCCNCACATCCACACACTTTAGTGCGTTTTACCTTGAGAGCTCCAAAGGCTGCCCTGTTTTCAGCTGGGATCTTAGCTGCAACAACTCCCCAGTCCAGAGCAGTAGTGGCTAGTCTCTTGGCAGACATTTTAGATTCTGGAAAATATAGTGTAGAAACTATCGCAAAGTTGATTATATCTACTGTTCAAAATAAAGAGGGGTCATGTACAGTGGCGTAAATAAGGGGGGTTATTGGGGTTATTTACCTCCCCCTAGAATCCTGGGGGTAGATACCCCATCCTAGAATCCTGGGGTTAAATACCCTCCCCCTAGAATTCTAGGGGTAATTACCCCTGAACATATTTTCAGGCCCTGAATAGCAGGGGTTACTCCATTTGCTGCCNCCTACAGAATCCTTATATCCGCCCCTGGTCATGTAATATAGTAAGAATAAGTCGCCAATTTCAGCGACTGCGCTACGGTAATAGCAGTACAGACCAGACTAACGCGTCAGGGGAAAACAGTCCCCAGTTCTCAAGCCATGCCCCGTGGCACTTGGTCCCCCCTAGTCTGTCCTACACAGAGCACTCGGCCCCCTAGTATATACTACCCAGAGGACTTGGCCCCCTTGTATATCCTACTCACAGCAATCGGGCCCCTAACAACTCCTATCCACAGCGATCGGTCAAGAATTTGTCTTTCACTACCTAAGACTAAATCTTCATTAAAACTTTATAATTTCAAGCAGGGTAGCAGAATATTTTTGATGTATACGCAATGAACAATGAACGAAATCAACAAGAAGGGAAGGTGAAGGATCGCAAAAATGTACATACTTTAAGAGTCTCTTCCTCCTTCTTCTTTAAGGGTTTGAAATATAAGAAGAAGGTGGGGGGGGGGGAGAGAATTGGGGAGTTCTTCAGATACTTAAACACAAATTTAACGATGAGAGTCCCATTACACCACAATAAGTATTTAGATAATGAAACTATTTGAATTCAGACGTAACTGAAATAGTAGAACCCTTTAGTCCTAATTTACTCTTTAGTCATTTTATAGTGTGGGCCTAACCTTACTATATAAAGTTGAAATTAACAACGAGTTGATAACTCAAGGATATTTGAACCATATATTAGCTCACATAAACAACCAGCAAGCCTGGATAAAATATTAAACGTTAAGTTGTGACGACGTTTGTGCAAAATTGATTGATTGATTAACTTTCATTTCATTATACCTAATTACTGGTATCTTAAATCCGTTTGTGCAAAATATACTCCGAACGTCAGACCCATCAACCCCGTGAAGAGATTACTTTCCGTCCAGAAGATTTCTAAAATATGGTGAACTGTCATGGCGACATTTTGAAGAGATATGGGAGTGAGGCGCGGCAGTCGAGCAAACAAGAAGCGAAAACTTTCAATATATTTACTATATTTAAAAGAAACAAAATAGATTAATCATATTAATAAAAAATTATGATTATATACTCACATCTCAGGGACAGGCCCGTAACGTAATTAAAAAATGTCAATTTTTAGTTGTAGATCCTAAAAGTCCAGCGCATTACACACCTAAAAGTTGCAGTTTAGGAGTAAAATAAAAACATAATTTCCGGACAAAATATGTTTGATATAGACACATTTTCCTTTCTGTGATAAATGTGCTTAAAATTTAAATAATAAATATCTTTAAATTTTTTAAACAAATTAAAAAAAAATTTAACCATACTTAAAAACATGACGTTGCCTAAATTTGAAAAAAGTGCTGAAAGGCAATACGCGGTGATTTGAAAACACAGAAGACACAGAATCCACAGAAGCAATGCTCGGACGAACAAAGTTGTGGTCGGAAGAAATAATGGTGAGATGTGACGTCATCTGTCTGCGGACTAAAAAATGGTGTGGTATTGTGTTTATGTTACAGGATGTCCCACGAAACATGACAGTATGCAAGAGGACTTGAATGTCGTCTTGATTTTTGATATAATTTGCTGTGTTTATTTGTCAACCCAATTCTAGAAGTAAATTTCTAGAGATAATAATCACAAAATTCCCCTAGTCCTGCCATTTACAAAATGTGGTCTGCCTTTTTTTGTGCTTTCAATATTGCCCGACATATAAAGAAATTAAATTAATTTAATTAATTAATTTAATTTTATTATTTAATTAATTTAATTAATTAAATTAAATTAATTTAAGTTTTGCAGAAACTTGCTTTGTTGCACAGTTTCAATGTTTTGTCCAGACAATTCAAAATCATGGTGAACGTGAGTTGTAAAACATCAAAATTTTCTGGTGTCCAATATTGTAAGATTTAAACTAAAAACTAAAAATAATGAAACTGAATTTATGAACTGAACTGAGCAAATTAAAACTCGGTTTTTCACGCCGCAGATTTTGTTGATGCCCATATTTTAAAATTATGCCTGAAAATTCCAAAAAGAATTCTATGCGTCTGTAAAATTATTTTTTAAAAATGTCATTTTTCTTGCCTGAGATACCTAAGTGAACAATTTGAAAGTGGCAATATTTTTTCATATTAAAAGAGTAATTTGCTATGTAAGCACCTAAAATACTCACTCTCAACGCCATCTCATTTTAATTGAGACTTGGGAGTTTGACCCCCCCCCCCCTTTTCAAAGAGCTGGACCAGCCACTGGATATATGGAGGAGAATAAAGGGATATGTGGAGGAGAATAAAGAGATATATGGAGGAGAATAAAGGGATATATGAAGGAGAATAAAGGGATATATGTAGGAGAATAAAGTGATATATACGGAGGAGAATAAAGGGATATATGGAGGAGAATATTACATATATTGTAAGAAAAGGTGTAAATTATATGGAGAGAATAAAGCCCGTAAAATAACTTTTTATTTAAATATAAAATACATTTTTATGCATTGCAAATAAATATATTCTGATATAAAAAGACACAATAATATGATAAAACAAACTTTTTTACATTTAACACCACGCTATAGCTTTAAACAAAAGAGAATTTAGAAATATTTTAGGGGGGGGGGGGCAGTGGGAAAATAGCCGAGGAATATTTTTTTACAATTTGTTTATTTTTATTTCTTTCCAGATTTTTTTTATAAAACAAATATTATTGATACATGTATTTATTTAATGCAGAATGCAGATAATCATTTCTCCCATCTTCTTGTTTTCTGGCTGTCCTGTTTTGCTGGGTTAAATCAGTCAAATAAACTTGCCATCTATGATGCAGGCTTATTACGTACTGACATTGTTGTAATGAGAACTTACCTTTATCAGCTGCATTGATTTACATGCATCTCATTGTCTGCAATAATTCAGAAAGAAATATAAAAGTGCTCCTAGCCTTAACTATCCGTGGAGCATAATGTTGCACCCCTATACAAATGTCTAGTTACTATCCTGTTAAAAGCTTATTTGATGAAATGTAAAAAATATTGTACTTTTATGCGTTTATCTGCATTCATCATATCAGTATAATATTTTCTTTGTATATAATTCATCAGGTGGAAGATGATAAAAAAGAATTATTATCAAATATGATGTATTTTGTATATATTAATATATAATATATTACAATTGAGCACAAAATAAATGTTGCTACAGGGTAGCCTGTAAAGAATGAGACTTACATGTATCAAGATATCCATAAAACTGTGGAAGACGACTATAAGACTAAAGTTCATATTTTAAACGAGGGAAGGGTCTAATACATCTCAACATCTTTATGAGTAATCTTATTTCCAAGTTTTTTTTCAAATAATCCAATTTTTCGCCTAAAATTTTTTTTAATTGGTTGGTGCAATTAAAAAGTCCGTTTTTACTCAACAGTCAACAGTCACAAAATAAAAATTGTTCTATGTCAAATTTAGAGCCTCATAAAATTATAGCTGAGGAAAACAATGTGTTTTTCTCTACAGTTTGCCAAGGATCCAAACATTTACTGGCCAATTGTTCACTACCATGGGTCTGTATACTCTGCGTTGAAGGAAATCCTGGATGGAAAGACGGTTGACAGTATTTATATATAAGAATATCCATGAGTTTACTCCTCTGCCGTATAGAGGAAATATAGTTGATGAGGAACAGTTTGTTATCAAATGTGGACACAACTCATGTGCTAATCTTGACTGGAAGTTTGAGTTCAAGCAATGCTCCAGGTGTAACCTGAGATGCTACTGTAGTCCAAGCTGTCAGAAGCTTGACTTGAAACTACGCAAGAAGCAATGCTTTCTCCATCCTGGCATGGAGAATACAGATGAAGAGATGGATTTGATAAAGAAGATTTTTCTGTAGACTAGGACACCTTGAAGGACAGATTAAATTGTCTTCAATTTTATATTATTTTGTTATTTAGATATTGGATACTGTTATTATTTAACTATGGTTCGTTTTAGATTGAAATGGGAGTTAGATCGATAAAGGAGGCTAATTTGTGATAAATAAAAACATCAAAGACATACAAACCTTTGGATTGGTACATTTTTAATCTATGTAATTACCGTTTTTAGCTCCAACAAATTAAATTTGTATTTTGTGTTTTTTTAGAAACACCCTTTAAATTTCTCATATAAACATTCCTAAATACAAAGATTTAATTTTAATATTTAAGCAAGAAAATATTTATGTATGGGATAAATTCATCCGGAATTAAACTAATGAATCCTAGGAGAAGTGAGAAATTATTAAAGTTAATTTAAAAAGTAACCTGGAGAAGATATTCTTTCTTTCTAATTCTTTATTTACTATTTATTTTTTCATCTCTCATTCTATTTGTTATTTCTCATTCTTATTTTACTGTCTCTCATTCTTTATTTGTAGTTTCTCATTCTTTATTTACTATCTCTCAATCTTAATTTACTATTTCTCATTCTTTATTTACTATCTCTCATTTCTCATTCTTTATTTACTATCTCTCAATCTTAATTTACTATTTCTCATTCTTTATTTACTATCTCTCATTCTTTATTTACTGTCTCTCATTCTTTATTTACTATTTCTCATTCTTTATTTACTATTTCTCATCTTTATTTACTATCTCTCAATCTTAATTTACTGCTTCTCATTCTTAATTTACTATTTCTCATTCTTTATTACCTATCTCTCATTCTTTATTTACTATACTTTCATTCTTTATTTACTATCTCTCATTCTTTATTTTCTATTTTTCA